ATATTTTTGTGGAAACCGTGATACACTTTGATTAAAAGAAAGGTCAAAAGAAAAGCATTTATTTGAAATGTATATCTTTTTGTAACCTAAACGCCTTTACTGTCACTTTTGATCAGTTTAATGTATCCCTGCTGACCCCAAATATTTGAAAGATTATGTATATTTAAATTGGGTTTGAAATGGTGCAATACAGTTCTATTGTGTAATATCCAACAGTGAAATAGATCAATTCATAATGTGTCTGTGTATGTATGTTTGTTTTCTGCAGGTGTGCCCCTCCGCAGTCCAAATCCTTCTCGATAAAATGCGGCCCAAACGTGCATTACAAGGTGACCCCTCCGGCCGGGGACAGGAACGCTGCTCCGTACCCCCTCACCCCAAACTCTGTCCTCATCGTCACCATGGATGCAGTCAGCGAGACTGCAAACGACAGCAAGGTACCTACTGTACAGTACATCCAATCACCTTTGTGCTTGAAAAAGAGCAAATCTGTGGCATTTTTCTGCGTTTGGAAGAAAATTCTATGGAATAGATTCAACCAAGATAAAATGTTTGAAACTGAGCCGGAAATACTAGACTCGTATTTGAAAGCATCATACTAGCACAAATATTTAAAAGGAGGATATTCCATTTGGGTATGTTTTTTTTTCGTTGTATTGTATGACTAGCCTTTGCACTAAAGCAGATAGTAGTCTTTTAGAAAATAAACGGAACTGAAAGAAATCGACAGCTGCAGACAAGAAACTGCTTGCCTTGTCAGTCTTGTTAGTCTGATGCACACGCTGTGGTTGACCCTGGTACTAGTCTATGCAGGAAACTGAGGTTTATGTGTCGACGTGATCTCACGTCACTTTCACAACACTGTCTTGCACTCGCAGCTTGAAGGTATATTTAGCAAATTTTTTAAATGCAATCAGTACAGTAATGAATCACTTTAGCAATCAAAGAAAACCACAATAATTGTCGCAATAATCCATCTTATGCTTGTTTCGTTCTGATCGGTTTCAGCTGTCTGTGAGGTACTATGGAGAGAAAACGGAGTCGCTCGGGGACGCCGTGCTGCATCTAACAGCTGTCGGTACGTCTCGCATCATGTTTTCATTTTGAGACATAGGCTACTACGCCCGTGTTTATAATTAATGCTTATATAAATAGTATCTGTGCTGTAACTATAAACAGCCTCATGCTGGTGGGACTGAAGGAACAGGCAAGCCTCATGTTGTCTCGGTTCTGTTGCAGAGATATCTCTGGACGCAGATGCTGACCGAGATGGCGTTGTTGAGAAAAACAATCCAAACAAGGTGAGCTTTGTTTGCTTGTTGTCTTGTGATCTTTTCTATATCATCATTATTGGGGAGATTTGTTTTTGGCTCATTGCTACAGGCTTGGGAGATGGTGGAACACAAAAGAAGATATTTAGAAAAATGTCGTAGCGTTTTCTTTTTTGTCAATTCAAAGTCAATAGGATCTGGAGGCCCATGAATAAGCAGAATAAACAATTGTGACTTTTTTTCTTGTATGTCAGAGATGGTGGAACACAAAAGAAGATATTTAGAAAAATGTCGTAGCGTTTTCTTTTTTGTCAATTCAGTCAATAGGATCTGGAGGCCCATGAATAAGCAGAATAAACAATTGTGACTTTTTTTCTTGTATGTCAGTAATATCTCACAGTTGACTTTTTTTCAGAATTGAGAGATATAAACTCAGAATTCCGAGAAGAAACATCAGAACTGTGAGATATAAACTCGCAATTGCAATACAAAAAAGAAATATTTTTTGTTCTGTGGCAGCAACAAAAAATAGAATTGTGAGATGTAACTCAGAATTCTGAGGAAAAACTGAGAATTGCGAGCTATAACTGCGAGAATAAACTCAGAATTTCAAGAAAAGCTCAGAATTGTGAGATATAACTCGCATGTAAATTACAACAAAAAAGTCAGAATTCTCAGTTTATATAAACTTTTTTTTCCTCAGAATTCTGAGTATACAATTTTCATAATTGTGAAATAAAAAGTTGCAATTGCCTTTTAAATTTTTTTAATTTATTTTTTTACATTTGTGGCATAAACAGGCTTCCATAGGGTCCCAGGTTTTTTGAACCTCAATGACTTTCGAAAGTATCTTCTTTTGTGTTCCAACTGCATAGTGCTATTTTAGATATTCAAGACTTTGTTTGAGGAATGTGTGATAGTATTGGATTTTGGATCTAGGGATCGTGGAAGTGGGGTCCTAAAGGCCACGGTGCAGTTCTGCTGGTCAACTGTGACTCAGAGACCACTTACAAGAAGACACTGGACAGTGAGGTTGATGAGATCAGTAAAGTGTCAGGTGAGTCTGGGCAGGTCTAGTGTCGGATAAAGTCTCGCCACAGGCGTTTGTTAAGTGTAAATAGACTTTGTACCAAAGCCTGGTGTGTTGTGTACTTAAGCAGCATTTTCAAACACTGTATGCACGCAAAATAATGCTTCCTTATTATTTGTTCATTATTAATCCTGTTTGGCCAGAATGCAGTGCAAGTCCAGTGAATTTTTACCTGTTTAATTTTAATCAAACTGTGGTTTATTCGGTACTGATAAAAAAAAAAAATCTATAAAAATTAAAAGCACAACTTCACCCAATTTTTCTGTGCATATTGAACTGTTAGCTTAGTTAACATGTGACTCTTCTCTTCAAATGTCATGCTGTGGAAAGGAAGTGAGAATCGTTATAAAAACATATATATTTTTTGATGGCAGATTTACAGGACATGTCCAAGATGATCCTGCGCACCAACGGTCCCGCTGAACTTCCTGAAGGCTATAAACTGACCATGCACATCTCCCAGACCACTTCAGAGAACGTGAGAGTCTTTAGACCTCGGACAAATGCAAAAAAAGACGACGTGTGGAGTGAGTGAATAATAGAATATTTCATATAATATACAATGAAATATTTTCAGAATATATATTTGAAAGAACAATTCTTTTCGGAGCTTGTATAGTGTTTACAATGAACTTTAAATTTTTTAACTTCATTTTTAGTTTGTGCTCCACTGAAAAAGCAGAATGCATTTTATGGAAAATGCATTACTGTATGGAAAAAGTATTCCTTAAATTATTTGTGGAAAAGAGAAGGTTTGAAAATGTATAGCGTAATTTGTCAGGCATGCATAATTTGAAATTATGATGCATGATACATTTAATTAGATAGAGGCAAAAACTGGTACATTATAAGGGAACATCAGTACTTTACTCTTTCTTTCTCTTCTCTCTTTCTTTTACCAGAGCACAAACTCTTGAAGTTGTTCCTGAAAGACTATATCATGGTGGTGGGAACGGACACGCTGACACAGGAAGTGCCCTATCTGGGAGGCAAAACTGAACTGGCGGTCTTTGTAGAGGGTCTTCGCTCGCCTGATAAAGACTTTGATGGGCTCGTCACCATCAACCTCAGTCTACTAGAGCCCTGTGGCAAGGTTAGCGAACCGTGAGTTGAGTGAATCGTTACATCCCTAGAAAGGATGCATTAAATTGATCAAAATGGACAAAACACAAACAAATAAATGCTCTTTTGAACTTTCTATTCATCAAAGAATCTTGAAAAAAGGAACTGTTTTCAACATATATTGAGAAATAAAAAAAGTTTCTTGAGCACCAGCATATTACGGTTTTGTTATCATCAAATGAAACCCACATTTTTAAATTAGTATGTGTGTATATGCCAGTTATTCATATTTTAAAACATTAACCCCCAGTTTCACAGACAAGGCTTAAGCCTAATCCTAGACTAAAATGTAAGTCTGAGCTGTTTCAACTGAAAGAAACTTGCACTGACTGATCTTAAAATATATCAGTGCCTTTGTTTAATCTTAAGATGCACACCAGTAATGTTTTTTTCTAAGTATGTTCATAGAAATTACTTGAATGTCCTAATTGAACTATGGCCTAATCCTGGCTTAGTCTAAGCCCTGTCTGTGAAACCGATTTTTGGCATAAAAGAAAAATCAATAATTTTGACCCATACAATGTATTTTTGGTTATTGCTACAAATATACCCCAGCGACTTAAGACTGGTTTTGTGGTCCAGGGTCACATATATGATGATTGATTAAACAACCACTACCTAAAGGTTAAACGAGATTATTTGTGTTTAAGTGCAACTCGTGGCCGAAACATGACCAAAGTCGTCCAGGACTTCCTGTGGGCACAGAAAGTTCAAGAGCCAATAGCGCTGTACTCTGATTGGCTGGTTGTGGGTCATGTGGATGAGTTATGATCACATACTAATCTAAAGATGTATAGAAACACTAAAACATTGTGTCACAGGGGCCAGATTTTGGGTACGTGACACGGCATGCTTTGAATGAGGAGGTGAGCAGTCTGGACTCCTTCGGTAACCTGGAGGTTAGTCCACCAGTCACAGTCAACGGGAAAAGTTACCCACTTGGCAGGATCATCATTGGAGTGGCGTTCCCTACGTAAGTACCACAACTCTACAGAAACCACAACTAGTAAAAATATACAAAAAAGTCTCCACACAACATATGTGACCCTGGACCACAAAACCAGTCATAAGGGTCAATTTTTTGAAATTGAGATTTATACATATAGCTTTCCATTGATGTATGGTTTGTTAGGATAGGACAATATTTGGCTGAGATACAACTATTTGAAAATCTGGAATCTGAGGGTGCAAAAAAAATACATGACCAAAGTCGTCCAGGACTTCCTGTGGGCACAGAAAGTTCAAGAGCCAATAGCGCTGTACTCTGATTGGCTGGTTGTGGGTCATGTGGATGAGTTCATGACCTTTGTTCCAGCCCCTGACCGAAAGGTAAACCGATATACTACAATACACCACCAGTGAAAAGTTGTGACCTTTTTGTTTTTGAAAGAAGTCTCTTATATGCTCACCGAGGCTGCATTTATTTAATTAAAAATACAGTAAAACAGTACATTTTTAAATGCCAGTACTTTATTCTGAACATAGCCAGTGTTTTTTTAAATACCCAAAACAGTGCTAACTGAAATGGTTTGATTGTTCAGAAATTCCGGTTGCTGCTGGCTAGCCCTGACGCCGGATACAAAGTTTTCAAAAGCTTACAAAACAATGGACATGGAAAAGCAGAAATGTTTCCGGGTAAGCACTCACTAATTTTCCGTTTCAAAAAAGTTTACCAACCCCCACAGTTCATATTCTAGCTGACGGTTTTACCTGAACAGGTTTGCCAGAGGCCATCTCAGTAAATGAGATCCTGAGCGACAAAAAGCTACAGGCAGAAAACCGATACGTGCAGGTCAGTGAAACACACAACACTCACAATACGCCTTTAACGCATTAAGATCAGTATCTAGATATTTTTGTAGCCAGATTTGACAGATCTGTCTTTTTTATGGGAAAGAATAATGCTGGCATCTTCTAATCTTTCACTCAGAACTGTATTGACTGGAACAGGGACGTGCTGAAGAAAGAGCTGGGATTGGATGATGAGGACATCATTGATTTGCCCATCCTGTTTAAAGTGTTAGAAGAGAAAACGGGCCCCAGGGCTGTGGCTTACTATCCCGACATGGTACAATACACGTTTAAGAACTTACCGAACATCCACTCACATTTTAGCTTTTTGATTTTTATGACTTTTAATGAAAAATCAACCTGTCAAATCACACTCTCTTCTTCTCACCAAGACTGCATTTACTTACTCAGAAATACAGTAATATTGTAAAATATTATTACATTTTTTAAACAAATGTTTTGTATTTAAAAATGTAATTTATTCCTGATGCAAAGCTGATTTTTTTTAGCATCCTTACTCCAGTCTTCAGTGTCACATGATCCTTCAGAAATCATTCTAATATGCAGATTTGCTGCTCAAGAAACATTCATTGCTATTATCAATCTTGAAAACAGTGCATAACTTAAAGTATCATTAACCTATCATACCAAATGCCCATTAATATTCTACTATGAGCTACTTGAGGAATCTGATATTATAGTTTTCCCATTACGTTGACCTTTGTTTTGTATGTATGCACCCTCAGGTGAACATGATCGTGTTGGGGGATAAGCTGGGCGTCCCAAAACCATTTGGGCCGAAGGTGAATGGCAGGTGTGCTCTGGAGACAGAGGTGTGTTCTCTTCTGGAGCCTCTGGGCCTCAAATGTACCTTCATTGATGACTTGGCCCCGTACCACAAACTGCTGGGTGAAGTTCACTGCGGTTCCAACGTTCTTCGAGAGCCGTCTCCTTTCAAATGGTGGAACCTAGAGCTGTGAGAGAGAGACTAGAACTGTCAAGTGCCTATTAAGTCTCGCAACTAGTTCATTCTAGCAATAAACAATGCATAGAGCAAAATACTAATGGGATAATTCATAAAAAAAATGAATGAGTCATTTACTCACCCTCATGTTGTTTAAGCAGCTCTTTTCCATATAATGACAAGGTGCTGTCAAACTGTCAAAGAATAAGAAAGTAGCCCAAAAATCATTCCCATCAATTTGCGCTGTGTTCTGAAGTAATATAACAGCTTTCCATGAGGAACAGACAGAAATTTAAGTGCCTATTTTGAGAGGTGTTGATTTTCAGTAAATGCAGCTTGAAAAAGAGCAAACCGTATACTTATGAAACAACATGAGTGTGAGCAAATACTTCTTAGTAGTTTGTCAAATTCTTATGACAACCTTGTCTTGTTTTTAACAGTATAGTTACTCCTCAGGCTGCGGTGGTGCTGTTTCAGGATTTCTAAGAAAATTAAGGGCTAACAATTATAAAGTGGTTCAAAATAATGTTAAACGCTTACAGCTTAAGAGTAGTTGGGCCTGTTTCATAAAACAAGTTTACCAAACAAGTTAGGTTTATTTCAGTTAGTCTGACTTATTGTCAGTTGATTTGGTTCAAAATAAGTCAGACTTACTGAAATAAGCCTGGCTTATTTAGTAAACTTGTTTTATGAAACAGACCCCTGTTGTATATTTTTTCTAACAACAACAAAAAAGCTTTAAAAGGCTGTACTGTGTTTTCATAACTGTGAACCATGAATGTTCATTCTGTGTTGCCTTAATAATAATGACTGAAAATTTCCTTTTATAATTGGTGATGGTCTTGGGTGTGTATTTTTCTCCCCCCATAATAATGTACATTACAGCAAACAATAAACATTACATGAACCCCTCTGATCTTTATTAAACAATTTCTTTTGTTTTATTACAAAAAAGGAGAAAATGTATTTACAATGAAACATTTCATAAAAGTAGCATAATAAGCACTTGTAAAGGAGAACACAATCACTTGCAGAAAGCGGTCGGTGTTTGTTTGGAATGAGTTTGTGCTTAATGGCTCTAGCATGTGCAAACACATTATGTACAGTTCGACCAATCAGCAGAGACTTAGGGCTCTGACACAGCGAAAGTATGGATTCAGCCAGCCAAAAATATTTTCACTTTTCCATAAACCGTTTTAGAAGCATCACCCCTGAAAGCATCCAAACAGCATTATTTATAAGAAAATAATCTCTCCAAACAAGAAGTGAATTGGGAAAATTAGTCTTACAAAAAAGTACCAAGGTATTGTCATGTTTTTGGACATGAAATTGTGGTAATGCCATCTTTCGTCTATGATAGTAATACCATAGTATTCTTCAAAATACGCATCATACAGAAAAAAAACGTATTTTAAGGAGCTGTAAAAGTGACTAAAATGTTTTTTGCAAACAACAAATTGTAAATATTTAATTTGATTAGAGTTGATATTTTGCCAGTGACTTTCTTTTTGTTTTAATGTCACAGCTTAGGATAGTTGCTCAAAATAATTCATCACATTTATGGCTCAAAAAAAAAAATAAAAGTCAAAGTTTGTATCCGATAAGCTATTGAGATGAATGGGAAAGCATTAACACCATAGTGCTATGTTTAAAAACTAAAATATTATTTTGATTATATGATCTAAAATGGACATTTTTGTTTGTAATCAATATAACACGCATTTGTGTTTGAAAACAAAATAAAATGCCCAACATTTGCTATCGAACATAAAGCATTGGATGAATATATTCTGACCTAGTGTTTTCCATTATTCATATCCACTATCATATATGTGTCTTACAGTTTTACATTCATATTGCTCACCTGTCATATAAGCTAAAAGGTCTTCAGGACTTCAATATATCGGACATTTTTATTCTGCTCTGCCTGTAGGACTATATGTGACCTTGGACCACAAAACATGAGAGACATTGATGATTTAATCCGCACTGCTAGCTTTAAAACATGAGGCTACTACATTAGTGTACGGTTTACACACGTGTCAGTTTGACCACAAACAGCTGTGGCCATACAAAATATGTTGATCAGTAAAACAGCATAATCTTAATAAATACTATTTAAAAAGTGTACAGCATCTCACACCTGATCTATTCATTTGATCATAAATTATAATGCCTACGCTTCATTTATTGGACGGGACTGGAAATGGCTTGTGTGCTTGACACCAGAAGATAGAGAACTACACTGAAGAACAACATTTAACATTTACCTATATTCATTTTCAACATCACTACATCATGACACAAAAGGCAACAAAACAGAACCACACACAGATGTGTATTACAGTGCTTTGCGGGTTCATGTGTATTTTAAGCATGATTGGTTTAGGTTGAACCTCGTTTGTTATTCTGAAAGATGCCGAAAGCTTGTGACAGCTTACCCACCCCCCGTTACTAAAAGATCAACTCAATAAATAAATAAATATGACAAATAAAACCCAAACCCACACAATGAGGGCCACTGTGGACAGAAAGAAAGAAAGCAGCCTATGATAAGGCCATAATCATGCGTGATTTGTCGCCTGCTGGCAGCTCTTCTCTGTTCTTCTTCTGCCTTCAACAGGTCAGGTTTGCTATTTTGCCTACAGACCAACAGCCACATGATAGAAGATAAGGGGGTCGAGTCCTTAAAAAGAGCGCGCTGATACTCTGATGCACACTTGCCCGACTGTACGCCTCCAGGCTGGAACTAGCAGTTCACTCCCCTTCACATCCGTGTCTCCACAGGAACTCTTGTGAGCACGTCGAGCGTCCGCTGCAGAGGGCTGCTTATGAAAATGCTGAAAATAAGACAGAATTAATAATGATTAATGAGAATAAGGTTTTTGAATATATACATATATACAGTTGAAAAGTTGGGGGTTGGTAATAAAGCAATAAGCCTCCGCTTCGCGTCGTGCCTAACAACGCCCCTTAGCTGTTATAAATTCACTGTAAACCATGGCTTCACGGAGCTTATTGCTTTTATAAAACGGTTATTCCAGGTTTAGGTGGAACCTAAACCCATATTAGGTTTCACAAAATAAAACGGAGCAAATGAAGTGCAATGATATTAATAAAAACATTATTCTTCCGCCAAACAATGTAGTTCCTCAGAAATGGTTGTGGTTCCAACAAAGTGGTTGCCGAGCAACAGACAGACGTAAACAAAGGTGTATGTTTGTACGCTGCGTCCGAAAGCTCTAAAATGCTGCCTTCGGAGGCAGCATTTCAAGGCATGAAGGCACGTCCGAATATAAATTCTGCTTCACTTCCTGTCTCCGAAGGTACCTTCTTCTGATCGAATTTTGAAGGCAGCATAGATGTATCCTTCGCTGCCTTTGATATCCTACAATCCTGTGCGTTCCATTCCGTGACGATTGGGATAAAAAAAGTCTGAAAGTTGCGTTTGGTGGTCAGTTTGTGTGTAAATGTATGTTTCTGACTAACTTTTTGCACTTTTGATGTTATTTCTAGCGAGAAATCAGTATTATAATAATTAAATATTTGTTTAGTTATCATCAAAACTCGTTCTATTTTGTTGTAGATCATTAAACCGTTACGCTGCCTCAGAAGCCTGTCCGAAATCAGTTTCACGAGGTGCCTTCGTGCAAAAACGCTGCCTGCAAAGTCATTGCCTCATACGGCAGCGAGGCAGCAAGTCAGCTGCCTAAGTTTTCGGATGCAACCCTAATCACGCTGAATGCAGTGTCGCATCGCCTCAAAAGCAAACAGAAATTACAATCACTGCCGCTATCTTGTCTACACTGGATACAGTCAAATTCCCTTTAAGGTATTCTAGAGTCTTCGATACAGATGCGCGTTCATTTTCTGATATAGTCCGCGCGCTTGAGTCTGTCGTCAGGACAAATAAAGAGAAAGAACGTTTGCTTTGACGCGTTTGGTTTAAACAGCTCGTTCGGACTTTGGAGCATTTTGTTTTGTAAATGAGGCACAGTGTCATGGAGAGTTCACAAAGAAACATTTGTTGAAAAATGAAGCAGTATTAGATCTGACTGCAGCTGCATCAGTCTGTAAGTAAATTATTTCTAGTTGCTTGGTCTGGAAATTACAGTTTTATTTTGATTATGTTGTCATAACATGCAATAGCGAGGGGGCGTTGATATTGTTTCCGATGCAATGATGTTAGTCAGTCATAACAATGGCCGTTTACTGAGAAGCCTTAAAGGAACCGCTCATAAAACAGCCTGTTTCTGGGAGAGGTTCAGAATGAGGGTTGAAAATAATCATTTTTTCCACATATTTATTTATTTATTTTTATTATTATTATTCTTTTTTTTTGCAAAAACCTTTATTAACATTATAATTAAACCTCAAGGAACATATTAAAATAATTTTGAAAAAATCCATGTCATGACTCATGACCCCTTTAAACCACCGTTCCATTATATCCGATATTTGTGTACGATTGCCGCTTTTCGCCCCCTAGTCGCAGTTGCATTGAACTTTCAAATTGACCCTACGTAGGGAGTTTGATTGACAGGTGATCTGACCAATCATAATGCTGAATCTGCCATTTTTGTCCAACAAACAAATTAGACAGGAGAGTAGATTAACTTCAAATACGGTGTATTGATGTCTTTCCGTGGTTGAAACAAGATACCTTCTGATGTTCATTCATGCTTATTTCGCGCTATAACTAGTAAAGAGAAAGAGATGATTGGTTCACATGCCGCTTGAACTGAGGCGCTACAGCTATCTGTCACGACACATTAAAGGGCCACAAAATGGTATTTATTGTTTGAATTTCTTACAAAATGACAAAATTTGAAAGCTAAGACTATGTTTCATACCAGTAGTAACCTGCTCTATCTTGTCTGTTGGTATGTTGTCAGTTTCCTCTTTGCTCCTCGATGTATTTTTCACTACTTGAGAACATGGTGTGTGGAGTGAGAGTGGCAGTGCCATGGCTTGTTGGACATAGCAACAGTAACTAAGCA